AAAATAAAAATAAAAAAAAAGAAAGAAAGCTTTGCATGGAAGCCTACACTCCAGTTACCTTTCACAATAGGGAGTATTTGGATAAGCTGAGTACCAGGACTACGTCAGCAACCTAAAAGAATTTATTTACTTCTTTCACTGGTTTATTAACTATTAGAAATCAAAGCAAAAAGTATCAGAATCTGGTTTATCATGAAGCCTCTAGATGACTAAAAAGCCTAGGATTATCATATGGTATAAGATCATTAAATAACTTACTTAGAAGTTTACCTTTGATCGTCTTTTCCTAGAAGTCCCAGTATTCTCAAGAGCTGGATTTGTAACCATGGTGCTGGTACACTGTGGTAATTGAAATCTACTGGGAGCTTTCCTCCAACTACTTGCTTTAAAATAGTTACAAAACTCCCAGTCAAGTCTTTATATGCAGATGAATTCTCCTATACCCCAAAAAAAGCAATTTTCTGTTAATAATAAAGTCTCATCAAATATAAAACAGACCTGGTTGAAATGCCATCTGGAACCTAACTTAAACATGCACACTTAGAAGCTTATGTTCACACTTAATGAAAGAGTGCATATATAATTTCTTCCACAGTGAAATCCCTCTGGCTACCTGATTCAAAGTTAAATCATCCCCAGAAAAGCTCCACACTCCCTAATTTTTCCTACATATAGTTTAATCACATTTCAAAGTTCTTAAAATTATGTCTTTCAATAGAATCCTCTTATTAGCCAATACTAGCAATAAAAACTAAAAAAAAAAAAGGCATACTGAAAAGGGGCAGTAATACCACTATTTTGTATGAAAAATAAGGCCTATCTGCAAGCTCTCAGCCCTGTACAAAAGACTTCACTCTCACAGAAGAGCAAAGCCAAGACTATTTAAATGTTCAAAGCCCCCAATAGCAGTGAGCTGTCAATCAAAAATTTAATTAGCCACATAGTATATAAACATACTTCTATTTCTGAATGAGAGTGCTTTGATTATCTGACTAATCTCTTGGACTGGTCAAATTAAATAAACACTATTTAAAATGAACATTAGATTCTTCATTGTAATTTTTATTAGATATCAAGGACAAATTTTGGAAGGGAAATACAACTCTTTAAAATTTTAGTTAGAAGGAAGAGAAGATTTAATATCAAATATGTCTAGTACCAAGCATCTATTTACACCATACTATTTTGGAGTATAATGCATAAAAGACAAGCTTTGGTTCCATAATTCTGAGTGAATTCAACAGCATATTTCATTTAGTTGTTGTAGGTGCTTGTGAAATCTTTCACAAAGATATGTGATTTTGAACACAAAACATTTCAGGCAATACAATGAGAAAGAATTAGTTTAAACCTATCATCATCATTTACAAAAATTTCTTACCATACCATTCAACCCTCTTTCCTCATCTGATGACATAGTCAACACTGTAGTCTATACCTGACACAACCCACACTGACTTCCTCATTTCTAAAAACTGTTATACAGCCCTTGAGGCTATATAAAAAAGAACCACTGCTTGAAAAACCACAAATCTGGAAATTCAAATCACTTTCCATAGCTATCATTTT